CTATTTGGGTGCCTAAGTTTGAAGATTCCAGATCAACATTAGTCAAATGTTATCTTACAGAAACATCAACTGTATTATATTACAAAGAAAGCGATTTATTTAAAAATTTGATCAGAACATTAAAAGCTACAAGCGATAAAGCGAAATCGGAAACGAAGCTCTTTGGACATGGTGTACATTTGTACGAGAACTGAATACTCTGAGATTGTTTATGTGACCTAGAAAATAGGCGTGTGTACACTGGCTGTAAATAAATGTAAATTAAAGGTTTTGAAATGATTAGCCTTGGTGCCCCCTTGAGTTGGCCTTGGTGCCCTGTGGAATTTTGATGGGGGCAAGGCCAAAGTGGCCTGCCCCTTTTTTGCCCAAGATCGAGGCCTGCGCTATGCGAATGTGCAGGTCAAATAGGAGAAAATTTGAAACTGTCTTGTGGGCATGAAGTCCCCATGATTAGTGTCACGTGTACAATCGGTAATCAAATTCCAGTAAGGCAACAAAACGGTTAAGGTTCTGCGTGATAGCGGATGTAGTACGGTTATCGTCAAACAGAGTTTAGTTAAGAAGGAACAAATGTTGGAGACAAAACAAAAGTGTGTTCTTCTAGACAGTACACAGAATTTTTCAGTCGTGCGTATTGAAATAGATTCGCTGTATTTTGTAGGAACCGTGAATGCATTGTGTATGCCAAATCTCTTGTACAATCTTATAGGGAAACATAACAGGTGTTAGAGACCCGCGTGATCCTGATCCCAGTTGGTCAGGTAAACGAAATGACACACCAGAACAGAAATGCCAAAGCCCTCGCGACGAGAAAACAGCGGCAGTTGAGACAAGAGCACAAAAGCTAAAGAAAGTCACGAACTTGCGTCATCTTAAAGTTCCCGAAGTGCAAAATCTCTCCAACATGAAAATCCGTTGTTGGAAAAGCTATTGACCCTCGCGGAAACAGGTCAAAGCCGACGAACGGGTAAGGATAACGAAACTAGGTATTTCGTCTCGGACGGATTACTCTACCATGAATTCGCTTCACCGTTGACAGAAAAAATTGTGTAATCACACAGTTGGTACTCCCAAAGAAAATGCACTCGAAGGTATTGAAGCATGCACACAATTCCACCATGGCAAAGCATCTCGGTATCAAGAAAACAACAGACCGCGTACTTGCAAATTTCTTTTGGCCAGGCGTGTGTCGCGACATCCGAAGATACTGCGTTTCCTGTGACATATGCCAAAGAACGGTCGCGAAAGGTCGTGTCGGCAAGGTTACTCTAGGTAGAATACCTTGAATTGATACGCCATTTAGACGAGTAGCCGTAGACTTGATAGGACCAATTCACGCCATCACGGAACAAGGCAATAGATACATTCTGACTTTGGTCGACTATGCGACGCGCTAGCCGGAAGCCGTAGCCCTATTGAAACAGAACGCATAGCGGAAGCATTGTTTGAAATCTTTACTCCAATGGGCGATCCAAATGAAATGCTATCAGATATTGGCGCACAATTCACCTCGGATCTAATGAAAGAAATAGGCAGACTTATGTCAATGAAACAACTGCAAACTACACCCTACCATCCAATCTGTAATGAACTCGTTGAGAAATTCAATGGTACACTGAAACGAATGTTAAGGCGCATGTGCAGTGAGAGACCGCGTGATTGGGATCGGTATATCCCTGTGCTGTTGTTCGCGTATCGAGAATCTCCGCAAGAGAGCACGGGGTACTCTCCCTTTGAGCTCATGTACGGTCGTTCAGTACGAGGTCCTCTTACTATCCTCAGAGAGTTATGGACTGGAGAAAAATTAGATTAAGAGGTAAAGACAACTTACCAATATGTCATAGACTTGTGTGAACGGCTAGAGTCTACTTGCGAACTAGCTTGAGAAGAACTCGCGAAGTCCAGTACTCGCTATAAGAAATACTACGACGCGCGTACTTGATTAATCGAAAGTTTGATACCGGCCACCGAGTATTAGTTGTCCTGCCAACTGACGCAAACAAATTACTCATGCAATGGAAAGGGCCATTTCCTGTATTACGGAAAGTTGCACAACACGACTACTGTATTGAGATGAACGTACATGTAAGCCACACACATTTCACGCAAATCTCCTCAAAAAGCACATAGTTCGATTCACTCTGTTACCTTTCAGAACGGTAAATGCACCGGCTACTTTCATACGCATGATGAGAAAATTGCTGGAAAACATACAGCATGTCGTGAATTTCATTGATGATATTCTGATATACACGGATACTTGGGAACAACACATCGAAACAATTCAAGATGTTTTGAATCCCTTGCGCAAGGCAAATTATGGCCGGATATGATTTCCTTGATTTTCTAGGGCACATTGTAGGAAACGGTGTTGTAAAGCCACAGACGGAAAAGATCACAAAAATCCTGAATGCATCTCGTCCACGAATGAAAAAGGAAGTTCGATCACTTATAAGCCTTGTTAATTACTATGGCAAATTCATTCCGAACTTTTCCGATCTGACTAAGAAAGGAAAACCGAATCATGTAAATTGGGAAGAGGCACAGGAACATGCATTGAGCACGCTGAAAGGGCCACTTGTATCTGCGCCTATCTTGCATCTGCCAGATCACAGCAAATCTTACATTCTTGGTTCAGGAATACTTGAAAATGATCGTCTAGGCAATGGATTACAAAACTGCATACTTAAATGCACACGTTAAATGTTACTTGAATGAGGTTTTTGTGTGCGTTTAAATGAGCAAGTTTGTTTTTAAACTTTGTCTGTGTGAAAATATACATGAATTGGCACAAACATCTACATTTGTACATTTGTACAGTATAACCCTACATTTTCCACTGCAGATATTTAAAGTGTGTTTGAAACAGATTTTGAGGTTTTTAGTTGATGAAGGGTTTAATGCTCCAGGCTTTAAAATACTTTTAAGAAAGTGCCAAGTTCCATATTCATGAGCAATACAGTGATGTCATGAGCTGGAACTTCAGTGTCACTGCTGTTTAAGGACGGAAAGTTACAAAGTGTTTTGGTTGAGGTTGATGTGACTGTTTGTTCATTGTGCACGAGGCACAGGCAGTCAGTCAGATACTTTAACAAACTGCTACGTGTACATGTACATTTCAATGCAATGAATTTTAGTTTCACAATTTACACAGAAAATACCTAAAGCGATATCGCAGCAACAGTAGAAACAACTATTAAAAGGCCATTCAGAATTTTCAATGTTTTAAAATTTCGATCTTTTTCCAAATTGTGGGTGGGTGGGTCAAGCTAAATAATTGAAAATCGAAATTCACTTTCCATGGAAAAAAGATAAAAAAAAAACAAAGAAAGATAGATCTTTGGACTTGCCTGAACAACGCACAAGCGTTCCGATATTGCGATGCGTGTTTCTTTTCCAACTTGGTCCCGTGTATGTACTGTACATGTGCGTCATGTACATGTACGTGAATATAGACCCACTGTGGCATGAGAGGGAGGTAGTTTTTCAGTAGACTTGGATGCCGGGCGTTTGTAGCGGTTAGGCCGTGCAGAGGCAGCAGGGTACCAGGTGTACTAGATCGGCTCTATAACACGCCGCGGGCGTCGATTACCAATCGCTATAAAAACTGGACTATTCAACCACTGGACTCCAAGAATACGAGGACCGCAGCCTGTCATGTGATGACTGCCCAAACTTGATGTTTTCTTTCGCTCGTACCCCCGCCCTGCAAATAGGGGAAGGGGGTTCGAGGGAATGTTTTTCTCAGCTACCTCACGTGACAGGCACAACCTCATATGTCACATGTCATCCACCTCATCCAGAAAATAGCCCCATAAATGTGGCCAATTTACTGGACTGCCTCTGTAAATAAAGGCCACACTGCCACCATATACAAAAACATGTCAAACTCTGTCAAATTTTGATTTTCACATTTAGGCTTAGTTTGTAGTTTATTTTTGCTGTAGAAGCATACTCACCCCCTTTATAGGCTAATTAGAAGGTGCTGCCTTTTTCAGATGTCTATTTTTCGTAAAATTTCATGTTGAAATTTTGATACGCAAACGTGTGCAAACGAATCTGGAAATTTTACGAAAAACAGACACCTGAAAAAGGCAGCACTTTCTGATAAGCCTTTAAAGAGGGTAGTATGCTTCTAAAGCAAAAATAAACTACGAACTAAGCCTAAATGTGAAAATCAAAATTTGACAGAGTTCGACATGTTTTTTTACATGGTGGCAGTGTAACCTTTGTTTACGGAGGCAGTCCAGTCTGTGGCTAATCCAGAAAATGACAAAACTACGGTCATCTTTGTGGCTTCCAAGACTGCAACCTGCCTTTCCAAACAGCATATCAGCTGGTAAAACACAAGAAAACTGAAGGCCACCACTGCAAAAGAGGAAGACCGACAACTTCACGCCGTCACTGAACTAGACACACATGTACATGGGTACACATGTACATGTACATGGGTACACATGTACATGTACATGGGTATACATGTACATCTACATGTTCAAGTATATGTACATGATCAGTTTTTTATTAATCGAAATTAGGGGTGGGTGGGTGGGTCAAAATAATTTGGATAAAAAGTCGAAATTTTAAAACATTGAAAATTCTGAATGGCCCCTAAAGTGTACAGGCATTGTAAAAAGTGCACTGGAAAAAAGATGACAACTTTCTACATGCAGTTTACCATTACTTTCATATGGACATGAGGCTAGGATATTTCCAGGTTTCAGTGAAATTCATCCAATTGCCTTTAAATTCTGTTAGACAAAATTACAAAAAGACCCTGAGAAATCTTCACCATGGAAAACATAGTGAACTCTTAATAGAGCACAAACTGCATTATCATTATCGAGAGTTGAAAGCATAGAGAGCAAACTCACCGCAAATCCAAAATATCTTGGGAGGTTTTGGATCTCAATCTTGAAGATCTCTGAGGTGAAGTGCTGTTGTGTCAGATAGTGATAAGGATCCGTTATGGCAGCACCAGTCACTGGTACGTCAGAGGTGCTGGGGCAATGGTTATCTTGTGGGTCAAGACCTGATGGACAAAAACAAACAAATTAAAAAACCAACTCCAATCAGAGAAAATAAATTTACTTTGATTTTTTTAAGCATGAGATATTTGTAAGTTTAATTATGAGTTTTCAAGTGAGACACTGCACAACAAAATCAGTTCACAATAACAAACAGATCAATTAATTTCAAATTTTGAATAAGAAGCATTCCAAAGTCGAACAGTCTTAATATAGATGTACAACAAATGTATACTGTAACTGAAAAAAATCAGTGCTTTAAAATATGAACCTCTTTGTAAAGTTAGAGATAAACCTATATATAAATATCTTAATTTGGACGGTTCCCAAAAATGACCAATTTCTACAAGCTGCTGTTTTTGTGTGCGTAATTCAAAACTGCCAAGCACAAATAATGCTACATGTATGTACTATCACCATTCTGGTATTTGAACTAGTTTGCTTTTCTGATACTTGATACTTTATTGATGCCTCATAATATTTTGATATTTTTATTTGCCTTTTTTAATGGGCTTTGTATTAATCAACAAAAGAATGAATCAAATTAGGTTTTGCCCTTCACCGATGTATAAACACTGTATACTCAGTGTGGTACCTCCCGAGTGAAAGTTGGAAAAAAATCACTCGGGTGGGACTCAAACCCACAACCTCCTGCTTTCTAGTGCAGACATCTTACCACTCGACCACCGAGCTGGTTGGTTCAAATCTGATGTACATAGCAGCGGGTACTGCATTAACTATTCATAAGATGGATAGTCGATGAAGGGCAAAACCCAATTTGATTTACATCACCCCGACGCAAAATTCCATCTTATTATAAAAGAATGAATGTTTTAAGATATGAATGGCTTTGTAAACTTTGCATTCATTCATCAGAAATTCACAAGTTTGACAGTTGAACGAAGGTTCAAGGACAGAGGAAACGACAGACGTGGCGGAGGTGTCTTTATCTTGGTTAAGGATGGTTTCTCAGCCATTGAACTTTCTGAAGATGGTTGTGAATTACTCGGGTGCCAACTACCGCTCAAGCCGAAAGGAGAGGACATCTTCATCTCTGCATATTATAGAGCCCCCGACTCCTACAGGCCAGAATCTCTAGAAAACCTAGACAGAAGTCTGAGTAAATTGCAGGCTTAGGTAAACTCCCCATTCATCATTCTTGGAGGAGACTTTAACATCCCAGGCATGCTTTGGAACTCAAGGACTGGTACATGTACTTTCTCGGCAAACGGTATTCAATCCAAAATTATCAACATGATGACTACAATCTCGAACAAAAGGCAAATTTTGCTACAAAAAGAGACCCAGTTACAGGAACAGATAACAGCTTCGATTTGCTCTTCACCACACGTTCAACTCTGGTTTGTAATGTTTACAGCAACTCCGGAATTAGCGATCACGCAACAGTGCTAGCTGACATAAACATCACCGCACCTCGCTCTGTCAAGCCCCCTAGGACCATCTTCAAGTGGAATGACGTGGATGAATCCAAGCTGAACAAATCTGTCCTCGAGCTTAAGACCAAATTCATGCAGTCATCTCCAGAAACCAGAACAGTTGAGGCAAATTGGAGTATTTTTAGGGACAGGCTGAAAACTAACGAATTAGTACCACAAAAACCAGTCCAGGGACATTGTAGACCCTCATGGCTCACTACTGTCCTAATCCGTTTCTGCAGGAAGAAAGAGCGCAGCTATGTGAAGGCAGTAACAAGCGGTCTACATTCAAACTTTTGCAAAAGCAAGTGAACAGCGAAATCCGAAGGGCTAAACGCACACATTTACAAGAAACTACATCTACAGGTAACCCCCAGAAATGTTGGCGCAGATTCTGAAACTCAACGGGAAAAATATCACATCTGACCAAGAAAAAGCTGAAACCCTACAAGACCAATTCTGTAGTGTTTCAGCTGGGATGACACCGATGTGCAGCCAGTTCTACCACCGAGTCCCTACTCACACTTGACAAACATCACCGTGTCTGTTAGATGAGTCCTCAAGTTACTGACGTCGCTCAACTTGAAACTAGCTGCCAATGAAGTTGCCCCAGTACTCGCATTCATATTCCAACAAGCACTTGACCTGGGTTCTCTACCATCTGACTGGAAGAAAGCCAACGTAACACCCATTTTTAAGAAAGGCTCTCGTGCAGACCCGGCAAACTACAGACCTGTGTCGTTGACCTCTGTTTGCTTTAAGTTATTAGAGCACATCATTGATAGCCAATAAATGAAACATCTCCAGGAACACAACATCCTGAACGAAAACCAACATGCTTTTCGTAAAGGCCTGTCCTGCAAATCCCAACTCGTAACAAATCACCATAGACATGGCAGTACTTGACTTCTCCAAAGCATTCGACATAGTTTCTCATCAAAAACTGGTCCAAACATTAGACTACTACGGGATAAGGGGAAAAACACAGAGATGGATCAGGGAATTCTTAACCAACAGGTCACAAAGAGTTGTGGTACATGGAAAATCTTTGAAATGGCAAAGTGTCGACAGTGGCGTACCACAAGGCACCGTGCTTGGCCCCCACCTGTTTTTACTTTTCATCAACAACATAAGCAAATCGGTGACTGGCACAACTCGCCTTTTCGCTGACGACTGCCTGTTACATCGGAAGATCTGCTCATCAACTGATGAACTGATGTTCCAAAAAGACCTGGACAACTTGGCTCACTGGGAGCAAACCTGGGGAATGAAAGTTAACTCCAGCAAATGTAACATCATGCGAATCTCCGGGAAGCGGGCCCCCGGCAAAACTAACGACACCATGTTAGGATCCAACCTCGTAGAGAAAACCAACATCACATATTTGGGAATAATCATTCAGAATAACCTAAGTTGGAATCACCAAACAGCATATGCCACTTCCAAAGCAAGTCGTATATTGAACTTCATCAAAATAAATTTTCATTCTGCATCCAGATCAGTCAAAGAAAAGCTGTACTTAGCAGTAGTCAGACCACACCTAGAATATGGCAGCATTGCTTGGAACCCTCACATACATGTAGCTAAGAACATAACATCCCTGGAAAAAATGCAACTGATGAGGGCTGCTCGTTTCGTAATGCGAGATTATTCCAGACTGAGCAGTGTGACCGACATGTTGACAACCCTAGGCTGGTCTTCACTGGAAGAGAGAAGGAAAGTTAACCAACTTACCTACTAAAATAATACACAACATAGTTCACATTAACTCATCATCCATAGTCCCCAAACCAGCACAGGCTTGTAGACTTCCCAACCACCAGTTCACAGAAATTGCAGCAAGGACAGACATCTATATGCAGTCATTCCTACCCAGAACTATCCGGAAATGGAAAACTATTTAATTTCACTGGGTTAAAGTGTTAAGTTTCCAATATGCAAGAATGGACAAAATCACATGAATGGTATTACACTTAGCTGACCTGGCAAAGGAGCAAACGTCTTCACCAAGTAAAAGAATAACAAGTCACCTTTGGATTTGTCCTCCTCATCTTCATTGGGAATAGCATCCATAGTGATGGCCACATCTGTTGGCATCTTGACAACATCACCCTCTGTAACTGTGGATGACGTTACCTCCCCAGTTGGGACATCATCAGAAGTTGGTCCCTGCTTCTCATCCATTTTGGTGTTATTACGTTGGACCAAAAACACACTGGAAATATAAAGAAACTGCACATAAAGCAGTTGTATACTATTGAAAGCCATGACCAGTGGGATATCTAGGGGGTGGGGTCAAAATTTGAAATCACAACGTGCACCTGAAAATAGTATGGTAACCATATCGTGTACATGTCTCTATGCAGTGCGATGTATATGTGGATACCATACCAGTATGAGATGCGAGCTGTAAATGTCGCCACAACACGGCTGCGACGCGACAGTTCTATCTGAAAAGCCACCAAAATCATCATTGTTTCCCCATATTTTAGCCAGTGTAGTTCTGTTTCAAGTCGATCCTTTGCTTAATGATGACTGCTGCATGGTATTTAGGTGAGTTTAATCTCAACTAGGTTTGGATCAGGGAAAAGGACAATTTCAGTTGAGGCAATTTTTCATGGCCTCCATCATTTTCTGACTGCTGGGGAAAAAATAGTTGGGGAAGAATTCCATACATATTGCATGCACATCACTAATATTTCCCCACAGTGACCTATCAGCCATCAGAAACGGATGACATGTTTAAAAGTCAAATTTAGCAGGGAAAATATTGAAACGTTTATGAAGAAAGCACTTCAAATTTTTCAGACCAGTCTCTTAGGGTTTGTGCACCGGGTGTCAAGTGATGTCCAGATATGGAACTCTTCCAATAGTTGTCCAAACATTTGGGACTCTCAATACTGTCTATGAGAGTCCCAAATATTAAGGTATTGAAAACTTGCAATACAAGATGGAGATGAGAAACTCCAGCTCCAATGCTCATCACGAATTTGATATGTAGAGCTGGAGGCACATCTATTTTTTGTCCAGCAGTTGAAAATTGGCGGAGGCCTTGAAATTTGGCAAATACTATTAAAACTTTTCCCTTTTCCCCTATTATCCAAACCCAGATGAGATTAAGCTTACTTCACACCATGCAGCAATCATTTACGAAGCATTTGGTCGACTTGAAACAGAATTATGCATTCTAAGTAAGAGTTGAGGCTTTGCATGGTGGAGATACTAAATAATGAAAGGTTTGCGGAAACACCATGGGAGAATAATTTCTCAACTAAGAGAATGGTTCTGAAAAGCACCAGAGGTATCAACTCGACGTTCCGGTCAGTATGCTCTGACTGTCTTCAGGAGAGACATTTCATTATTTATGCTTTATACTAAAATATGAAAAAAATTATGATTTTGGTGGCTTTTCTACCTTGTATACTGCATTGGGGCTGCTATTGATGACATGTATACATTCTTATGTTGTTTTCAGAAGAAAAATAAGATATGGCTTGATATAGACCCATGAACGTGGCTATATACATGTACATACATGTATGCACTCAATATTTTGTTATTGCTGCCAAGAAGTTTAAGTGATCATTTAAAGCTACAGTCCATCATTTGCAGCTATCCAAAACGATATTTAGTGTTGAATAACTACTTGGTTGAAAGATAGTAAGGGGACAAAAACTCCCTGTGAAATTATTCGTTCTGGCATGCTGTCATTGGGAAGAAATCAATGAAAGAAGGCCTTTCCAACGATGCATCTAAAGGCACATGGTTGGAAATTTCCGTTAGCAGTTCCTTTTTTTAGTTGGCGAAGTGCGCGCAAGCGTTGACACGATGCACACGCTCGCGCGGTTGTTTTAATTCATCAGGCCAAATTCAAAACAAGATTCAGCATCTTTTGATTTGAAATCGAAATCCTAGAATGTTGTTTTACTCGAAATGTACAGCTGAAGCTGAGCTGAAACTTCATCAGGTTAGTTGTTCAGTACCCTTCTTTAGATTTTGAGCGTGTTTGTTGCTTCAAACGAATAAAATACACAATTTACAAATGATGGACTGTACCCTTTAGAGAATATTTGGAAACTTTTATTTTGTTTTCTTTAAGTACTTTTTTTGGGGGGGTGGGGTGGTCCTTTTTTGTAAACAGAAGGATCATTAATTAAATAAAAGATACCTTTTTGGGACTTTGATCACAAGAACTCATATCAGGAGCTTGCGACACCATCACGGTGTCTTTGTCAACTGGTGTTGTTGAGGCCCTCACGTGACCCGCCAAGAAGTGTTAGTTATTACTTCAAGAATATTTGGAAACTATTTTTATAATGCTTCAGTGCCCGATGCGTATTCTGTGTGTACCAGTACCAAGGTAGCAAGTTCAAAGCTTATGATGTTCTCATCCAGAACGAGCTTTAGCAAAGAATTAAACAGAGACAAAATAAGAGAAAGCAAATTTAAAGATTTACTTTCTCTAAATTTACTTTTTTTCAGTTGTGTCTTTTACATAATCATTAATCTCATATTTTTAACAAACATTCGTTTCTTGACCATTTTGTATAGTTACCTGGGAAAGATTTCCATATACGAAGTTCACTCAACACCCTGTGTACAAACCCTATGAGATTGGACTGAAAAATTCTAAGTGTTTTCTAAGAAAATGCTTGTATTTTTTCACTGCTCAAATTGACTTTGATGACATGAAATTGCTATCTGGGGGCTTGTTAGTCAATACAGAGGAAAATTAGTGAACTTCGTATATGGAAATCTTTCCGTTACCTGAATGTTCTTTGAAATATGGAAATAAATGTTGAGATGAATAGGAGAGAGTAACCATTTCATCTTCACATATGGTGACTGTCAAAGTAATTCCTGCATTCGTTTTCTTGCGAAGTCTAATAACCAAAATTAAAACACATATTACAAGAGCAGTCTGTACTTTTAATTGATTCAGTACGACTTGACTTACACGTAATGGAACGAGACGTCTTTATTGAAGGTACGAGTTGTCCAAGGTACGAGTTGGCATAATGATGTCACATTAAATGTATGAGTTGTCCAAGGTACGAGTTGCCCAAGGTACCAGATGACCTGTTTCCTTGCACATTGAAACAGCAATACTGGGTGATTTGGCAATAAATAGTTAATGCGGTACCCGCTGCTAAAGTTCAAATCGAACCGGCCAACAGATTCCGTTAGCTCGGTGGTCGAGTGGTAAGACATCTGCACTAGAAAGCACTGGACATCGTCGGTTCGAGTCCCACCGGCTTGATTTTTCCCATCTTTCACTCGGGAGGTAACAGACTGAGTATACAGTGTTTATACGTTGGTGAAGGGCAAAACCTAATTTGATCAATTCGAAAAGTTGACATTATCTTAAAGAAACCTATAGGTTTTTGTTTTTTTGCCAGAGGTATTAACCTTTTGAAATCACTAAATCCGACTTTTTTCCATAGGTAAACTTTCGAAATCACCGACTATGACTTTTTGAAGTGACATCATCATCGATTCATGATGGACTGCAGACAAGCAATCGTTTCTCGGGCAGCGCAATGGTTCATCAGAAAACCGCAGGATCATCCGTAAAATCAAAAATAAAATAGCAAGAAATACACAGTTTGGTATGGAAATATATTTAGAGTGTAAAAATTCAGTTCGGTAATATTTGCAAGTAAGTCTCTAATGCCGTTGAAAAATGGCAAACTGCAACAATGTCACCGTGAACGGACGGCCACATTGGCCGGTCAGCACGGCACAGGAACCGTGTCACTTTGCAGTTTGCACAGTTGGCTAGGTTGACCATTCGTACCGGCCCATGAACCTGGCAATGTGAATAATTTTTACGAAAAATGCGTACCGAAGTTCCAGCGTTCCTTTCAGTAGAGCTAGGAAAATATTGAAGTATTAACTGAGAAAAACACTAAGAAATTTTCAGACCAGTCTCATAGGGTTTGTGCACAGGGTGGCAAGTGATGGCCATATACAGTGTATGGGAATCTTTCCTTTGATGTTAACTGGGAAAGATTCCCATACCTGGCCATCACTTGTCACACTGTCACACTGTGCACAAACCCTATGGGACTGCTCTGAAAATTTGAAAGTGTTTTCTCGGTAAAAATTCAAATTTGTCACTGCTAATTTAGACTTTTTAGGACAAAATATCACTTTCAGATGGCTGATACAGATAGGCCTAGGTCATTTAGGGAAAAATTACGGCGATCATGAAGTGTAGGGCCCCTGTTTTGTTTCGGTCATTTTATTGGAGTCAGAAGTGTTTTTTTTTATTGCTCAAAAATCACCTTTACAATCAAAGCAGTTTTTCCTCAGTTCTAATGACACCCGTTTTGCAATTTTGAAAGGATTTTTGGGATAGAAACCACGATTTTCCTGCGCGGTTTGTGCCTTGCGATTCAGCGCTCCGTGCGTGGCTATGGATGCCACGCTATACAATACACGCAGTACGTCTATGACTTCTTGGACAAGTTGGAGTACGTTTCACTAAATACTATAATGCAGATTTCACCAATAACTAATATAAACAACCAAATTAATGTTACCATTTATTAAATGGTTAAATAAAATTAGTAATACTGACGTACCAGTAATAAGAAAGTGGCAAAGGTAACAACAGGTACAGTTTCGGCCACTCGGAAGACAGCGCCGTACAGTCGCTTGTTTATGTTGTTGAATGCTGCCCTCATGTGTCGTTCGATGGGCATGCAAGCTCTTTCGAAACATCGGCCTCCATCGCAGATCACAACTGCTTCAGGTTCATATACTGAACTGGCATCCTTCTTTTTTTTTAACGAGACGCATACGTCTCCCGTAACGGAAGCCCAATAATACCTATTTGTCTATTCTTATTTGACAACTGACGCTTTCTGAGTAGCTGTGAGGAAATTTCATAATCTTCAAATAATTATAGTAGACAAAGCCGCAGCTGGGAATGAATCGAATTTTCAGAAACCCTTTAAACCCATGTTTTCTTTTTTTCTGGAGGGTGTGAGTTTTTCCCCTTGAATCCCCCCCCCCCCAATTTATGTGATTATTCAAGACAAAGGAGTTATTGAAAATGGCTATCTATGTGGTAGGTACCCAAGAGATTGTGGAAAATTGTTTGGTAATCCTTACTTTTAGGACACCTCTATTTTTTACAAGTTCTGTTCAAAACTGACTTTTGCAGATGACTGTTCAGTACCAATTGACTTTTGCAGGCTAAAGCAGTCTTTTTTCTAGTTTTGAAAGCACTTTCAAAAAAATGTGACTTTCCTACCTTTTTTCACAGTCAGACATGCATGTTGTAGTTCCAACACGCGTGAAAGCCCTACATAATGAAAGCCCGATGCTGATTGGCTGCTAAAAAAAATAATTAAGATGTTTATTTTTTGTCAGCCAATCAGCATCGAGCTTTCATTGCATCGAGCTTTCACGTTTGCCATCTTGGTTTTTGAGTCTGTTTTCTGGTTGTCATCGTCATCTTTTACCCCTCAATTTCCCTCTAAAATCAAAGCCCTGCCCTCTTTCCACAAACTTAAACCAGGAAAAGTTCCGTACTCGGAGGTCAATTTATCTGCTGCGCCAAACATATTAAGTGTCATTTAGTCAGCTGTTTTGGTGAGTCTTTCCCTTCCTATATAGGAACGGGGTCCTAAAAGTAAGGATTACCAATTGTTTATATTCTTTAGTTGGACACCTCGTCGCAAAAGTAATTTTAAGAAAGCAAAATGTAAAATTGTCCAGTTTCCGGACACTTCACAATGAATATTGAATGGCTGCTGCTACGGTATTCGGTTACTCCTAGAACTATGATGCTCCGCGTGAGCGGAGCCGCATAGACACAGAACCCCACAAAATGGTTAATTGCAGCACAATCCCTCATGACATATCGTCAGTCCACCAAAACGACCAGGATATGTTTTGACGCACTCGCATTCAATTTGCGTTGGACAACACGCGCTATCTGCCTCAATTATGGTGAGTCGAGGATACTCGTGTAAGTTGCGCCTATCAAACATCGGTGGATTCTGTCGGTTTTTAGGCCAAAATGATGAAAAATATGCCCTTTCCGCACTGAGCCAACCTGACACTAGAAACGTGCACAAAGATAATGATCGATCACTGATTTTCGGTTCGCTCGGAGCACGCTGCGGGGGAGCAGTACTTGCACTTGTACGCATGAGCGTATCATTTGCTTGCAGCGTGCTCCGAGCGAACAGAAAATCATCAATCGATCAAATCTGCGTACACGTTTCAAGAGTCAGGTTGGCTCAGTGCGGAAAGGGCATATTTTTTCATCATTATGGCCCAAAAACCGACAGAATCCAGCAATGTTTGTTAGGCGCAACTTACGTGCGTATGTCATGAGGTATTGTATGGAGTTTATGGGCAAATTGTGCAGCGGTTCTGTAGAAAATGTCTATGTTTTGATGAACATTTTTGTACTTAGTTGGTGTGTTGTAGTAGCAAACAATTTTGCGAGGTTCTCTGTCCATGAGGCTTCGCTACGCGGAGCATCATAGTTCTAGGAGTGACTGCTAGGGTACTACTCAGTACTCCCTACTATTCTACATCACTTCCTTGTGTTCGTTCAGAATCAGAGGTGTTGGAAAGAATGTTGCAACCTGATGCTGCTTTTTCCCTAATATATCATCTCAATGAAGGTCAGTCATTGCAAAAATGATAAAACATGAATCTGGGACTGAGAAACATTTCCAATTTTGTTAGGAAATACTGAATTTGTTTTTGACTCTCCATAGACTTTTTACACAACCACTGAAGTAGCGTCAGGTTGCAACATTCTTTCCGAGGTGACTGTTGGCTCCCAACGAAAGCCTTCTAAAACCTCTTCCACCGCCTCAAAAGAGATCCCATCTGCGAGTGGTTTCTTTGTTAAATGTTTTATGCCTGGTTTTTATGAACTACCACTTTGAAAACTCATTCATTCATTAATTAGACATAGGCATTTGCCCGTGGTCTCCTCTTCAAATTATACACAGTTGGGATCACTGGCGCCGCTCCCACCACAGCCCGTCTTTCCAGTGCTGCTGCTTTCAGTTCGTTGGTGTCACACCCAGACCATTCAGGGATGTAGTCCACCCAGCGCATCTTTGGCCGGCCCACGGAGTGACGACATCCCACTGACATCCCATCCACAACAGCTGCCGCCATGCCGCCGCCATGCCGGACCACATGGCCCAACCATGCTGCCTTTTGTTCCATCACAGTGCTACTGCTGAAGCACCACCGGTCGACGATCATCTCCATCAGTCTTTCATTTGTCACATGATCTTGCCACTTGATGTTGAGCAGGTGACGCCAAATGGTTCGGCCAAAACTGTCTAGGCGTTTGACGCCAGCTGCCTTCAACGACAGGGTGGTGGCACCATACAGTACCCTTGATATGACTAGGGCCCGAGCAAGCTGTACCTTTACCTCAAGGCTGACGCGGGGAGAGCGCAGATACTTGCACTGCCGAAGAGTGGATCTGCCCATACCTAACCGCATCCGAACCTCCTTGCTGTCCTTGTTGAAAACTGCTGTGAAGATTTGGATTTGAGTAGAAAATGAGATTTTCTACTGATTTTATTGACGTAGCCGTTTTATACATTCACATTTTTTTTTTTACATCATACATGTTTACTTGACGGTTTTTCTCATGTTTTTTTTTTCGCAACTGTAGGCGCATCCATCAGTGCGGATGAAAGGCGCCGAGGCAGACTGGACACCCATACAATGCACAGACAGGGAGTGTAGCCACTCCTTGATGAAGGCTCCGCATCTGCACTGTCCATTCTGCTCCCAGGACAGTCTCTTCACTGATGAGATTCTCCTCAAGGCGCACTACAGGGTCAAGCACGTGGATAAAGGCATCAACTTTGGGGGTGAGTTTGCATTTGGGAACAAGACCAAGCGCTTGCATACATGTGACTGGATCCCAAGAAATATGTTTTAGGTTAAGCCAAAGGACAATGTTTTTCACTTTCTCTTCACAGGTCATGCTACAAGATGACTTTTAAGGTCCATGTGAGTTGAATGCAACACTTGTCCAAGTGACAAGCCTGCCGAGTGCAGCAAGATCCATCAGGTCAAAAGTCTGAAGGCCAAATTGCCTCTGAGTCTGTGGTCCTCGAACGCAGCAGGATACAACTGAGGCATTGTTCAATGGGATTAGCTCTCATAGTTTCAGAACTGGCTGTTAATGCACTGGTGTTGATAGCTGAAATGCAGCAAAGTGCACCAGACTTTTCCACCTGATGCACTGTGCTGCATGTGGCAGAGGGTTAATTAAGATAAGTTGAAGGCAGTGGACAGCAGGACAAGATAGTGGCATTTGTTGAAGTTTTATGAAATTGACAGATACCTGGCTGGTTATTCTTAGCAGATACCAGTGTTTGATAGACTCAATTGTCACAGGCCATGCCCAAGCGCCGGCTGTGTCTCAGGAAAAACTTTGCATCCGGCCTGCCTGAACAAGAGTCCTAACTCAGGTCAATAGCTTACTTGTGCCTGTTACAGCAAGAGAACCATATAAAAAGATCCACTGTTCATGTTTTGTCAAAGTGCATATAGCTGTCAGCTTTTGTCAAAATTGCCAAACCAATCCTCTACTGTATCCCTCCCCAGGTCTTAAAATATTGCGGTGATGTAGATCCTGCATCGTCCACGGCATCATTCACGAGCAGAAATACTTCAAGGGTGCCCACTCGCACTGCTACCACTGTCACAACGGGTTCAGCAGGAGGGACAAGGCTATGAAGCACTACCAGCAACACTTCCGTAATCCAGAGACCACAATACAGATAGTTATTACTCGGGTACAGTATGTCATGGTCAATTTTACAATCATGTACTTCATTTTATCCCAGTGGGCACATCAGACTGCACGTACAATACATGTAAACCACAATTCATAAATACCTATGGCAGTTTATCCATTCCTATTGGTCGAGAAGCTGCTATGTGGCCGGTCTTAAACGGATGATAAAGACATGGCTGGCTGGTCTTGAACTCTTTTCCAGTCTCACTTTAAATTTTGGCTCCTATGAAATCCAGTGCCTCTTTCCATTTTACTGGTCCTCACGTAGGCATGCGCAATGCTACCAGTGAGTCAGTATTTCATAGTCCTAAAATTCACAACGCAACGCCCCAGGTGCGTTTTGCATGACATCGCGCAGTATGTGCGACGCGTGTGTCTATCTCCAAAAAAGGAGATGTTAACATCTTACTCGCGAGCTGGACACTCCATTATTTAGCTATAGAGGGGTGTTAAAAAAACATGAAGTGAACTTGTTGAGCAAATCAGGTTTTTTTTACCAAAAGGTTTGGATTTTTTTGACCGAATAGGTATTTATGTATGGGAATAAATATGTGCTTGGTCGGTATTTAAGTTTAAGACCGCTTGGAGTCTGGGTCCTGATAAATACCATCGCCTTCGACTCCAAGCGGTTTTAAACAGAGTGATTAAGACCTTCCAAGCATACTTTTATTCCCTTTAAACTGCATCAACAGTGATAAGCTATTAAACATTGGCACAGGTGGGTAAACTACCATGGTTCACTCAGAAAATGTTGTAAATTCCTGATGCTTGAATTCCGGAGCTCATTGGACTTATTTATAGCTTTAAAGACTCTCTGAAATAAATTTCACAATCAAACATTTGACTCAAGTATTTATTCTTTTGTGAATGATTAGAGACACCTTTTTGGCTCAAACTGTTTGAAAATGCACTTATTTTTTTAACCTTCGCAGTTTCAGTGCTGTTTCAAGACAACTGAGTATGCCGTTGCTGTAATGTAATGGTCCCCTTTGAAACACTGAAATAAATTTAATCAGTTGAAATTGATGTACCTTGTGAGCAGGTATGGTGGTTTACAAGGATTTTGGTGGATTTTATCAAATGCCA